GTCATTTTTGTGTTTTTATAATCGTGCGTATTAAGTGAATATGCTTTTCGAACTAGTGTTTCGTTACGTACTGCTAATTGTTTGATGGTTTCATTTGGTAATCTGCGAATTTCATTACATAAAACTCTTTGGTGTTGTTTATTTCTTTCGGAGTCAAACATTTTTGAAAATTCTTGTGTGAATCTTTTCCAATCTGATTTTATTTCTATAGGTAGTACTGAAAATCATTTTTGTGCTGCGCCGTCTAATGTTGTTTGTATCAACGCTGTGCGGCGATGTAACCAATTTTGATGAAGTGGTGTATTTATTGGTTCAGGTCCTATATTTAAAATTAAATTTGCTGTGACTGCGTTTAAGTAATCTTCTACTGAGTATTCAGGGTCTGTTCCTGTAAATACCATGAGTGGTTTATTTGATGTTATTGATGATTCTCCCATGAGATATGGGTTCATCGTCACTTGTAATGACTCTGCGGCATTTGGCATTTGTGAAAAATTTGTCAATTGATTTTTTGTGATTTCATGTTGTTGTAGATAATATGGTAGTGGGATTTCATTTTGCATTTGATTTGGTTAATACGAATGCATAGTGAGAATATACATGATTATTATTAAATTTTCGTGGGGAGTAGTTTGGTCTTGGTGGATGTGTGTAATTATAATTGTGCTCTGCAAAATTATTTCTTGTAAATGTCTTTCTTGGTTTTGATGGTCGTGTCATTGGTCTGAATGTTTGATAATCCATATGTGAGAATTTAGGTGCAAGAGTGGCTGAAGGTTTTACAGTTGATTGTAACGTTATATGTGGTGATGTTACTTTATTATTTTTTGGTGTTGTTAAGTTTGGATGTATTGGTGAAATACTTTGCTGTGTAGTTGTCACTGTCGTGTGGACAATTTCTTCATTTATGAAGTGTGATGGTGTTTGAATATCTTGCTGTGTAAGATTTCGAGTTCCATTGAGGTTTTCATTATGTATAACCGTTGAATTTAAACTATTATTTTGTGTATCAGGCAAAAATGTATTATAATTTAAAGGTGTGGCGTCAATTGTTATGGTATTATTTCTATAAAATCTGGGTGAATAGATATTGTGTCTATCGCTTGACTTGATATATCATTTGGGAAGTTTACAAATAATGGATGAGACCAATCGGGGTCCCAAACATAATCTGATTGTTCGTGAATGACTGTGTCGTCAGTGTTACTTTGGGGTCTAAAATTGTTTCTTGCTTGGCTAATTAAATCTAAATTATGTGTGAAATAATCTATTGTAAACCATGCTAATATTTTTTAATCATGTTTAGAATTTTGTGAAACATCATTATTGTAAAAAATTTCACGAATTGCATATAAAAATGTAGAAAATGCAGTGATTTCATTTCTAACTTTTGTGTGTCTAGATGTCTGGACTGGTGATGTACTTTGGGCTTCTGTTGTCTCTAATATATTTAAGTTTGTGAATATTATAGCAAAAACTTCATTTGTGAATATTGAGTTTGCTCTCTGTGAGTTATGGTATTGTATATTTTTGATATATTTGATATATTCTGTGAATACCTTTGAAAATTCGAGATCAAGATCGTCTGTTTGAATAACGTATTTATTATTTCCTGGTGTACAGATTCCTATAGTATAAATACCGTATTGTTGTGTTATTTTTGCGATATCTTTTATATAATGATCAATTATTTGTCTTTTTATTTTTACATCGGGAAATTCTGTTTTACATGGACTGATTCCTGGTTCAAATAAATTTATGAGTAGATTTTTACAAAATTTTATTTGTCCTCTATCAGTTTCTGAATCTATAATGAAAGGGAATGCTTGTTCGTAATCTATGCTTTCTTCACTTTGAGTGTGGCTGCTCATCTTTACGTTTGATGACTGTTAATAAATAATTATTAATGTGTCTAATTGGTTGACTCCAATTATATAAATGTACTGGTTCATGTTTGTGCTTCTTTTTTATTCTATTTTTTCCTTTTTTCAATGAAATTGTATAGTGCGTCGAGACTACTGACTTCTGAGTCGGAAAATGCATTTCGGTGTTTCGAAAATCTTTTTTGTGTTATCTGTCGTTGTTTACTTAAAATTGTTCTTTTTAGTGTTTGCCGTTTTGTGTGAATGTATTCAGTTGTTTGTGTATGCGGGGTGATAACAAGATCGTATTTTTGATTTTCAATTTGACAATTGTGTTTGACGATGATTTGTTTATTTCCTAAATTTTTTAATGACATAAGGTTTAGGATGATGGATGCAAGGTTGTTTGTAAGTGGTTTTTATTTCCTAGACTGTTAGTCCTTACGATTTTTTGGTTAGCTTAGCCTGGGTCTTTTTATTCAGGGTTGGAGAGAAAAGTATATCGATTCCGAAGAATGATTTTTACTTTCTCGTGGCTAATATAAGCTAAGGTGTTAACTTAGTTAATCTTACTTAGGGGTAGTGATTGTGTTCAAGGGTTGGAGAATAGTAAATCGATCCACAAGGTTCAGGTATAATTAGAACGCGAGTAGTTCGTTAGATACTATTTTAAACTTACTAAGTTTAAGATCTATCCTGGGTCGTATAAGAGGAGGGGTCAAGTGAAGGATGAATAACCGAAGTTCTTCACTGTTTATCTTAATTTAAATGGTTAATATTTGAAAAATTTCTATTAGTCCTGGGTCTTTTGAAAAGGTTGGGGAGTGAATCGACGTTTGAGGTCGTTAGACACTTAATAAGTGGGTGGGGGAGAACAAAATTGTTCTGTTTGATCCAAGGATAAGCCTTGATGATCAGAATTAAAGTTAAAGAGAGAAAATTGAATTAGATCCAAGGATAAGCCTTGATGATCTGGTTTAAGATTAAAAAGTTTTAGGTTTAAGAAATATAAAATTTAAGGTTTTGAAATAACAATTTGTGACTTTTAGTTTTGATGACGTTAGTTTAGTTATGATGGTTGTTATGTTTAGGTGATGAAGCTAGAACAACAAGATAAATGATGTTTACTAAAAATTTTTTGTCATGCTACTAATTTTTATTTTTATTTGAATAAATTATTTTTAAAATATGTTTTATATAGTACTGCAGTTGAAGAAACGATTAGTGATGTTTTTATCAATCGTTATTGAACATTAATAATTTTTTAAGTGCCTGGTAAATGCATTGAAGATTTTTCTTCAAGAACTCTATGTTTGCGAATGAAAATCTAATTTCATTGCCGGTATAATTCTAAATATAAAAGATTGTTCTGGCTTTTGCCGTACGATCATGAAACTATTTGGTAAGTTTCTCCGTAGTCGTATGTCGTCTCTTGTCCGAGGTCTGTTTCTAATACGTCGTTGTTCTAGTATTGTTCGGAAGAGTGGTTTTGATCTATTGAGTCGGAGAGACCATTCAATTAAATTATTATCGTATAACATTTTGAAAATGTTTCTGTCTATTTTCACACTAATTTTTTGTTAGTTCTAAGCTAATTTGTTTTTTAAGGTCTTGTTCGAGACTTATGGTCGCACCAGATGAGTTATGTACGGGGGTTACTTATCTCATAGAGTAATTTCGGATAGGGTACACCGTCTGCTCGTCACGCTATCTTATTTTCGGCCGGATAGATTCGTGCAACTTCTTAGTCTAATACCGATCCTAATCTTACTCTTATTACTACTAGTCTCAGGGTGTTTAACTAGTCTCTGCTAGGCTCAATAGATCTAGAGTATACTGGTATTGTTGCGGCTGCTGAAAAACTCGGGAGAGTCAACTATTTTCTAAGTTAAATTCAAATCTCTCTGGTACTGAAATTACAAGTAATTTCAGCACTTACAAATAAGTGGGTAGTTAGTTAGATGGATTGTGATTGGTTAGTATTAAATACTTTATAGTGATTTAATATCTAAATTATGAATAATAAAATATAGTTTAGATCAGGTTCCAGAATCGTCTACATTAAAATTTGTATGCACTTACAACTTTTTTCAAAATGTTTTAAGTTTAAGTCCAAACAAATTTCTTCATTTAAAATGATTGATTTTTGATACCTAATTATCGATGTGATGGATCAAGGATTTTCTCGAGGGGGTTGCGGATTATCAAAAAATATTCAAAAATTTTGACAAACTTTTTTTAGTTCGAACAAATTGATTTTCCGAGCTATCCTAAAGCACTAAAAAAGACTCTGTTTTGGCCAAATTTTCTGCGCCGCAAGCAAGTTTTTGAAAAAGACAGGTAAAAAACCGTTTTTGCGCTATTTTTTTGAAAATTTTGAAAAAAAAATGCGGTTTTCTGGCGCGCGCTCCCCAAAGGCGCCTTTAGAAAGTTATAGGGTCGGACGCCCAAAAATGTATTTCTTAAAAAGTACCAGAGGGGGACTTTTGGGTCGGCAGGGAGTCAAATTCTTGAGGAAAAGGGCGTCCCCCCTTAGATCCGCCCCTGATCTTTACATTATACAGGCTTAAATTGCTCAGCAAAGTTTGATTCTTGCTTGTTTTTTTCTTTGTACCGATAATTTATTGATTTGAAATCTTTTCAGTTTTTTTTCGCTCGTAAAATGGGATGGTCGTTTACGACATTTCCCTAAAGTTGTTCGTGATTGTATCTGTAAATTGCCTTTACATACCATTTTGCTACGTACATACCATTTTTTAGGTTCAATTCTACTTAAATTTGTGTGAAATTGTTTAAATTGATTCAAATTTTCAGTTTTTTTTGTTTTGTCGTTTTCTTTTTGCAGTGCACAAAAAATTGAGTGTTTTTACTCGCTCGTTTATTTTTAAAGTTAATCAGACATGTGCCTGTCGAAAAACGTCCTTTTACAAATGAAAACATTTAATTAAAATTTAAGAAAATGTTTATTATTATGTACTCATGGTTTTGGTTGCGAGTAGCCGAGCAAAAATTATTCAGGTGGTTGCTATGGGAACAAAGTCATACTTCATTTAATGGAATCTTATCAACATCAAATTTTTTTAAAATCGATCTTAAGTTTTTGCCCGATCCTCCAACACAGGGTATTGCATGTTATAGCAAAAATTCAAGGCAATACAAGAGAGATCAAATTGCAATTGTGATAGACGAAGTGTACTCCATGGAAGAAGCCATATCAGTTTCAAAGTGTATGAGACATTCCAAAATCATCTGGGCTGCAGCAGTAGAGGCTGGCCAAGCAGTCAATAAAGGTGATTTAGCTAGGCGCCTGTCACAGTTTAAACGGGAAACATTACACGTATTGTTCAGAAATTCACAGCACATTACTGAAGTTTCACACCATTTCATTGAATCTAACCCTAGTCCAGTTTTTACTGATAACAAAGATGTCGTTGCTGGATGTTACCAATCCTCTCAACCGGAAATCAGCTTGGAATATTTAAATTTGGAAAAAGAGAACATAATTGATTCAGCTCCTGCTACTTGTTTTTTGAATCAGCATTCAGGGAAAGATTATTTAGTTGTTCTCTTCACGAGTAGTAAAAGCAACAAAAAAAATGGTCACCACGTAAATTTTGACAAACAAAATGGGGAGGAAAAGCCATTCGCTATTATCGATGATACGAACGTGGAAGCACGTGAATTACCATTCACTGGCACTGAGGTCCAATCAGTTTTGGTTTTGGTCGAGAATTTTACTTCTCTTGCTGCCATAAATCTAGCAATCACGAGAGCGCAATTTGAAGTCATAATAATAGCCAGCGAATCATTGAAATCAGACAGAAAATGGCTCGATTATATCCAGCGTTTGATCGGCGTCCAGTTGAACTACTGGAAATTTATGAGAGGCGAACTATCTATTGATTTTGATTGGCTGAGCCCCCATATACGAAGCGATGCGGATTATCATTGGCTTCAGAAACGAGTTGAGCGCGATTGGAATGATACCACATTATCTCATCTACTGAATGTTTATGACGAGGAAACTCTGCTACCAATTGCGATCGCAGCTTCAGCTTGGAAATTTTTCTACCCCGGTAAGAATGTTCAACTTATGTGTTTTAAGTTTCCAAAATTTGTTTGCAACCAATTGAAGAACTTTATCATGTGTCTAATCAACTGCAGTTGATTCTTAAAAGCTGTTAAAGAGTGTTCATAGTATGTGTCTTAAACATGTAAAGTTTGAACGCACCCACATAAACAACTTTTCTTGCAATTCCATAAGAACAGAAATTTGCATGAAAGGTCTATGATTAATATTTTTTCATATATGGAAATTGTATGACTAGCGTTTTTCCATAAACCAAAAACTTTGATTTTTCTACATTTTAAGTTCTCAAAATTCTTTGGTTGTGTTCGTAACCGAACTCAAATGTCATAAGCCTTGGTTAAAAATGCATTGGAAACAGCCTGAAATGTTTTAATTCTGTCTCACACAAATAATCTAACGAAAGTAACGAACTTTTAAATTTTGGCAAAAACTTTCAAAGATGATTATTTCTAAAATTTGAATTTTTAAATTACCAGACATTGATCAAGGCATACAAAAACATGTCATACTAAAGAAAGAGGAGTTTTAAGCGTTTTGACGAAAGTTATGAAGAGAAAAGGAAAAAAAATCCAATATAAATATATCCAGGACTACGTTATACACACAAAAAATTAAATTTTGCATGCAAAATTTTTTTTTCAAAAAATGTTTGTTTGAGTACGAAAATCAATTTGCGGTTGAAAAAAACACAAAAAAAATTTTGGGGGCAATTTCAAAATTTTTGTCATCGCCATCAAATAAATGCTAGTCATACATTTTCCATATATGGAAATTGTATGGTTAGCTTTTTTTTTGACAAAAAAGTTTTTGTTTTTTATTAAGTACGATACACCGAACTTATTGCCAAAACAAGAGAAAAGTTGTTCGCAAATTCAATGACACCATTAAGCAAAATGTATGAAATTTGAATGATTAGTAATTTTTCATAGACTTAGTTTATGGAATTGTATGATTAGCATTTTTGGTCTATGGAGGTCAACCCGGGTGACATAACCCATACTAATTTTGCTAACTTAAATAACCCATGCTAAAAAAAACTAGCTGATAGCGTTGGTTACCCTAATTGGTTTGCTTCCAAAACTTTTAAAATTTTTATAAAGTGACGCGGTTAGGTGAGAAATCACGTGTAAGCAATTTTTGCTTGAAATCAAATTCTTAAGCGTGTTTTTTCTACTTTGGCCGTTCTGGCATCTCATATCAGAAACAGTTATTCTTGCAAAAACAAATAAAAAAAGAAAATTTTTGATTATAACGCCTCATTTAAAAATGATATAATTGAAAAAAACTGTCAATTACTGAAAGCCCAGTTAGTTAAAATTGAACTATCAGTTACCCGTAAAATTATGCAAAAAAAATCAATCAAACAGCAATGACCGGTAGCAGTGACTTGTAGTTTTTTGTTGAATTTTTTCGTCCAGAATCTTGATTAAATAACGGGAAACTTGTGATCGATGCGCTTTTTTTATGATAACTTTGATTATAAAGCCAGCAGTTTGTAAACACTATACAATAGCTATAAATGAATTAGCTTCAAATTTCAGGTCAATTTGGCTGTTTTGTGATAAATCTGATCAAATAAAGCGTAAGTCATTTAAGACTCCGGCCTAAAAATCAGTCCAAAATGGTTTGGGTCAACTTTTTGGCCTCATTCAACAAAACAAATTTTCTTCCCATTTCCCACCATAGAGCAATAATTTTTGTTCCAACTTTCGATACGAAAGTAACGGAATATTTGTGCTCGAAGTGGGTTTTTTTTTCTTCAGACAAATTTCGACTTTTTAACATGCCATTTTTGACGGAATTTTTAAATATCATTCAAAAAGTATTGTTGTCCTGAGCTTAAATTTGAAAAGATATTTTACATGTGATCATTTTTGGATAAGTTATGAGGGTTGCAATTTTGACCAATTTGGGACAATTAACGAGCGATATAATTCGCGCTATTAACGCGTAAGCGGAGTATTAATCCGTCATATAAATCGTTCCAAATTGGTTGAACGAAGCTTATTTGCCAGAATTGATATGTTACAAGGAACGAAATCTCTTTTTTTGTACTTTATATGGCGTGTGGGCGATGATTTTCATTAAAAATTTCAAATTTTAGAAAAAAAGTTTTCATTTTATTTTATTTCATTCAATTTTTTTATGTTATTACTGCTGCTCCATAAACCCTTAAAGGCAGTCGGAACATTCAGGGCTTCGCCCTGATACGAGCAGTCTTGTTCAATTTAAGTTTTGTTCAATGTTGTTAATGGAATATTTAAATTTGGTCAAGTTAGTTTACATAGCATACGGTCTATGTAGCCAAATCAAAATTGATTTGACAGACGAAGGAGACGTCTACGCTGCCAGCGTATTCCGCGAAAATTTATTGGCAAGCGGTGCAACCAAGGAAACGTTGACCGCGACTAGCACTAACGCTTACGATGTTTTTTATCAGACCTCGTATACTTTTTCTTTGAATGGTTAACAAACAAAGGCAGTGCGCGCGCAATTAGCAGGCTTCCTTGATTAAATTTTGCTCGATACAGTTTTATAAATTGAACAACTTATAAGCTTATCATATCGGGTCTGAAAATCTCTGGACTAAATAAAATTTGTTTTCTGTTTTGACTGGAGTTTATTAAAGTAGGTTGCGGTGCGGCAAGGAAACAATTTTATACTTTTTTTCATATGACTAAATTAGTTTTAGTATAACTTTTGGATATGGGTGGATCATACCCTCACAGATGAATTTTGTCTTTTTTCGGTCTAAAACTTGCCCGGGTTGACCAAAAATGCTAGTCATACAATTTTCATATATGGAAAAATGCTAGTCATACACTTTTCATGCAATTCCATTAGTACAGAAATTTGCATGAAAGGTCTATGATGAATATTTTTTCATATATGGAAATTGTATGAATAGCGTTTTTCCATAAACCAAAAAGTTTGATTTTTCTACATTTTAAATTCTCAAAATTTTTTGGTTGTGTTCGTAATCGAACTCAAATGTCATAATCCTTGGTTACACAAACGTAGTAACCAAAGGTTTGGCCGTCGCGCATTAAAAATGCATTGGAAACAGCCTGAAATGTTTTAATTCTGTCTCACACAAATAATCTAACGAAAGTAACGAACTTATAAATTTTGGCAAAAACTTTCAAAGATGGTTATTTCTAAAATTTGAATTTTTAAATTACCAGACATTGATCAAGGCATACAAAAACATGTCATACTAAAGAAAGAGGAGTTTTAAGCATTTGACAAAAGTTATAAAGAGAAAAGGAAAAAAAATCCAATAATAATATATTCAGGACTACGTTATACACACAAAAAATTAAATTTTGCATGCAAAACTTTTTTTTTCAAAAAAAGTTTGTTTGAGTACGAAAATCAATTTGCGGTTGAAAAAACACAAAAAATGTTTGGGGGCAATTTCAAAAATTTTTGGTAAAATTTTTGTCTTCGCCATCAAAAAAATGCTAGTCATACATTTTCCATATATGGAAATTGTATGGTTAGCATTTTTTTTGACAAAAAGTTTTTGTTTTTTATTAAGTACGATACACCGAACTTATTGCCAAAACAAGAAAAAAGTTGTTCGCAAATTCAATGACACCATTTTAGCAAAATGTATGAAATTTGTATGATTAGTATTTTTTCATAGACTTAGTTTATGGAATTGTATGATTAGCATTTTTGGTCTAGGGAAGTCAACCCGGGTGACATAATCCATACTAATTTTGCTAACTTAAATAACCCATGCTAAAAAAAACTAGCTGATAGCGTTGGTTACCCTAAGTGGTTTGCTTCCAAAACTTTTAAATTTTTTATAAAGTGACGCGGTTAGGTGAGAAATCACGTGTAAGCAATTTTTGCTTGAAATCAAATTCTTAAGCGTGTTTTTTCTACTTTGGCCGTTCTGGCATCTCATATCAGAAACAGTTATTCTTGCAAAAACAAACAAAAAAAGAAAATTTTTGATTATAAAGCCTCATTTAAAAATGATATAAATGAAAAAAAACTGTCAGTTACTGAAAGCCCAATTAGTTAAAATTGAACTTTCAGCTACCCGTAAAGTTATGCAAAAAAAGTCAATCAAACAGCAATGACCGGTAGCAGTGACTTGTTGTTTTTTGTTGAATTTTTTCGTCCAGAATCTTGATTAAATAACGGGAAACTTTTGATCGATGCGCTTTTTTTATGATAACTTTGATTATATAGCCAGCAGTTTGTAAACACTATACAATAGCTATCAATGAATTAGCTTCAAATTTCAGGTCAATTTGGCTGTTTTGTGATAAATCTGATCAAATAAAGCGTAAGTCATTTAAGACTCCGGCCTAAAAATCAGTCCAAAATGGTTTGGGTCAACTTTTTGGCCTCATTCAACAAAACAAATTTTCTTCCCATTTCCCACCATAGAGCAATATTTTTTGTTCCGACTTTCGATACGAAAGTAACGGAATATTTGTGCTCGGGGTGGGTTTTTTTTTCTTCAGACAAATTTCGACTTTTTAACATGCCATTTTTGACGGAATTTTTAAATATCATTCAAAAAGTATTGTTGTCCTGAGCTTAAATTTGAAAAGATATTTTACATGTGATCATTTTTGGATCAGTTATGAGGGTTGCAATTTTGACCAATTTGGGACAATTAACGAGCGATATAATTCGCGCTATTAACGCGTAAGCGGAGTATTAATCCGTCATATAAATCGTTCCAAATTGGTTGAACGAAGCTTATTTGCCATAATTGATATGTTACAAGGAACGAAATCTCTTTTTTTGTACTTTATATGGCGTGTGGGCGATGATTTTCATTAAAAATTTCAAATTTTAGAAAAAAAGTTTTCATTTTATTTTATTTCATTCAATTTTTTTATGTTATTACTGCTGCTCCATAAACCCTTAAAGGCAGTCGGAACATTCAGGGCTTCGCCCTGATACGAGCAGTCTTGTTCAATTTAAGTTTTGTTCAATGTTGTTAATGGAATATTTAAA